ACTAAAAATCTTGTTGCGGAGATCGGAGATCGTCTGTTTGTCCACTATGCAAGACGGTAATAGCCACCTTTTTGTGAAATCTTGTGCTGCATCGGCACAATAGCCTCAGCTTTATGGTCAACATATCCATTGTCGGTTATTACAACTTCAAGTGAATCCAACATAACATTATGTGCCTTGCAGTTCTCTAGTCAGCTATATAGACATCTCGATGACACCTTGCACGGGTAGGGGTAGCCATCCTGAGGAAAGGAATTAAAATGTATTTTAAAATTTTGAAAAGACTACTAACTTGAAGTAAATATTGGTAGCTACCTCTAAGCAAACCATATTTTATACTCCCTCCATTCTTAAGGGTAAGTTGTTCTAACTTTTAGACACATAGCTTTTACTGTGAATCTTAAGAAGCTAGAATGACTTACAATCTTAAGAAGCTACAAGAGGAGAGACTTTTTTTTTATTGGAATGCATGTACGTACCATACTGTCACTCAGCTGCACCACAAGCCTTCGTATGCCAGCACATTTTCGGAGAAGATGTAGCATAGCTGGCTGAAAGCCATGCTGTATCTCCACAAATTTTACCATCAAAACCTTACACCTGGCAAGTGTACCCGTGCATTTCAGAAATCTCTCGTATTCTTCTACGCCCTGCAAAGACACGAAATAAGACGTGAGAAAGGAAGGGAAGCACTTGTGGGCACGAGAAACGGGCCAAGCGAAGTCAGGGCCAAGATACAAACGATCCTTATGATCACGGTCAACCACTAAAGGTTGGCCTAGCTTCTTGTAGGCTCCTCATCCAAACACGCCTATAATATTATATCTTTCTAACCCTATAAAACTCAATGACTAGATTTTTTTGCTTGAAAGTTTTATAATTTATCAATTTTTTAGCCTCTTAGACCGGCCACAATGTGGGCTTTTGCCGGTGCCAAGGAAGGAGAGAGTGTTCAAGCACCGGTGCTTAACGCTGTGGCCGGTGCCCAGTTTCAAAAAATCTTGGCATCGGGTCATGTTGGTTTCTCGATGCTGAGAAGATAAAAAAATATTGTTGCACCGGTCGTTCGTTTCAACCAACACACTCTTCCTCTTCCACACACTGAGCAGCACGCTGACAACTCTGAACACTTGGGTCCTATATACAGTAAAACATCGATGCTCGCACTGTATCCATTTGTGTTTTCTAGCATCGATATGAGCTGTCATACGGAACGCTATATCCATTTGTGTTTTCTAGCATCGATATGAGCTGTCGTACGTAACGCTGACAACTCTGAACGCTGAGGCCAGTCTTAGAGAGCATCTACAGAGGGTTCAATACGTGGCCTTTTATTACAAAAATTAGAAAATAAACCAGAAATTAAAGCTCCAATAGACTTAACCACTCTTTATCTTTTCCACGCCACCGCTACATGACACTCTACATTCATTATATGGTAGTTTTGTATGTCATGACACTCTAAAAGGCTTCAAAATGAATTTCATACTAGTAGTAATAGTAATACAAAAATTAAAAAATGTGTAAGGCGATACCCGCGTAATGTTTACAGTGAGGTCCAGCTCGTCAACCGTGTTGAACTGCCGCATCAAAGCGAAGCCAGAAGAATCGGCTTCTACCTCTAGGCGCCGGAGTTGGTGGCCGGCGCGTGCGAGATGATGGCGGCTGGAGTCATAGGCATGGCCGCTGCTCCAGCGCACCTCCGAGAGCTTCGGGGAAACCACGCACAAGTCACACCTGATGCACGGATGAAACGTCTGAAAAGACAAGCTGAAAAGTACCGTTGACTGATTTATTGTGAGAGGAAAATACTGTTCATTCGCTGAAAAAGTATGGCTGAAAAGACGAACGAACATGGGTGCGACACGGAAAAATTAATATCATGGTAATTCAAATTCGAGTCCGGACATCTGCATGCATCAACTAAAACTGAGGTCAGTTGTAAGGAGTGGATGCAGCATCTTGAACTTTTGGATCGTTTGCAGCTAGGCTTTAAGTTGTTCACGGAATGTGATAGAACTCTTTGTTTGTGGCGCCGATAATGCTCCACGCGGGCGTCCGTTCGTCTGGACGTCGCGCACCACACTTCGTCTCACCGCTTTTCGTCCATGCTGCTCGCTCCCGTTGCTCGCTTGCTCGTAGCGCTCCCGGTCCGCGGGGATTTGACCTCCGCGTCGCGCGGCCCACCCGCCACTGCCATCCCTCATCGCGCCCCTGCTCTACCCATATCTCACTTTCTATCTCGCGTCCGCTAACAGCAGAGTGCCTCCCCGGCCTCTTTCCCATCCCCAACGCCGCCGCGGTGCCTCGCCACCGACGCCGCTGCTGATGGCCGCTGGGCACACGTGCTAGGGAGCCTTGGGCCGCCTCTTGCCGAGCCTAGGGATCCCACGAGCGCGGCCAGATGCTGGCGGTGGTCACACACCGCTGCTCGCCGCCCACCTCGACGGCCGGAATAGACCGACCCAGGCCTCCCCTCATCTATATTGCAAATGCATATTTCAAGTGTTTCAAACGTTTCAGAGGTATGTTGCAATTGTTTTATATGAATGTTGCAAAAGTAAATCGGGGATGTTTGCACATGTTGCATATGTTGCAAGTGTTTCAGAGGCATGTTGCGTTTGTTTAAAATGTTTCATCTGTTCCAGACGTATGTTGCAAGCATTCTGATCTGAATGTTGCATATGTTTCACACATATGCTGCAATAGTATGTTCCAAATATTGCAGTAAGTGTTTTTATGTTCCAAGTTGCAAGTGTTTAATCTAGATGTTGCATATGTTTCATACATATGTTGCATGTGCATGTTCCAAATGTTTCATCTTCTTCAGACATATTTGCATTCAAGTGTTCTCATGTCGCAAGTGTTTCATGTTTCAGAAATACGTCCATAGAGTCATGGGGCACGCCCCAGGCGCCAGGGGATGGGCCGTGGCGAGCCGAGGGGGTTGCGGAATAGGCGCACTGGGGCCGAGAGATAGGGCGTGCACGGACGGGGCGAGCTGGGGGCCGACACGCGCTGTGCTTGTGGACGGGCGCGCTGTGGGAAGGATAGGGTGAGTCGCTCGTATTGGACGGGCTCATGTGGATCGTATCGTACGGCTGAGGAGCTGCGTCCGGACACGCTGCTGAGGCTGGACGTCGAGACGCTAGTGCCTCCTTATGGCGCACATGTCTTGCATGCTTCCCTCTCGGTGCACCTTTTCACCCAACGCAGCAGTGCCGGGCACTTCGCCGCCTCCATGTCCACCCCTACGTGCTGCTCCTAGAACATGGCCGAGAATGACACGGGCGAGACATCCAGGAACCCGAACTCGTTGCTGCCGGAGGGGATGTCCCCGAGCACCGCCTCCGGCCATTGGAGGTGGCCAGGAGCTATGCCATCATCACCGCCTTCTCCCCACCGCGGCTAGTGAAGAACCTCGTCTGCCTTCTCCTCGAGTCTCGACGCGGCTAGTGAAGAACCTCGTCTCGACCGACCAGCCATTGTGATAGATCGCTTGAACTTATCAGTCTAGCTTATCAACCATGAAACCGTGTTTTTCTCTCACAACAAATCAGCTTCCGCCGGCTTATCAGCCGCAGAAACCATCAACCGAACAGCACGAGGAAGGACAGTTCACAACAACATTGTTGCAAAAACTTGGGGGTACTAACACTACGGAACAGGTGAAAAATGCAGTGACGGCATAAAGCATCTGCAAAGCGCAAACAGCACAAATTTTGCCGGTGGCACCTTGAAACAGCGCCAGTAATAATATCTGATGGCGAAATTGCCTTTACTACCATCCAGATATAGTGTACAGTGATGGGGAACCAAATAACATATTCAACAGGAAGGGATAAACCAAAAGAACAAATGGTGAATCCCTATATGGTCACCCTTTGTTGTTCTCCTTGTATGGGTTGTAACTTCTAATGAGCTATCAAACAGTTTCACACCAATCTCACATCTCTGCATCCTGCAAGTAAAAGGGCGTACCCAGTGCAGAGAGCTCCCGCTCTGTGCGGGGTCTGGGGAAGGGTGTCAGTGGCAAGCCTTACCCTCACCTGTGCAATGTGAGAAGGCCGCGACTTGAACCCGGGACCTTCCGGTCACAGGCGGTAAGACTCTACCGCTTGCACCAGGACGCCCTTCTGCATCCTACAAGTAGCTTAACATATTCTTGTTACACGCTTAAAGATGCTCATCCATTTTACGCTGATCCGAATTCTCAATTCTTGCGACGACATCCCATGGTCAGCAACTTTTGTATTAGTTGAGGAGCACACAACAGCTTTTAGTAGGATCAACTGTAAAGAAAAGATAAACTTGTTAACAGAACACTTCATACCAAAGGACAAAGTCTAAATGTCTAATAATCAGGTTAGTTCGGTAAAGAATAAAGATCATGAGGGTGAGAGTGAGGGAGGATACCATGTGTCAGTTTTTAACCAAAAGTTCAGAAGTCATATTTCATCCGGCCACTTCTCAAGATTATGCATAGCATATCAGACAGCTTAGAGGTTTTGTTGTAGAAATTCCATCCCTCGAGCATCAAACGCTTTCTTGAACCTTTGAAATGGACAACCTCAAAACAATACAAGATTTATTCTGGATGTTACAATAAATAGAAAGCATATACAACAATGTTACACAACATGCACATTTATTGGATTAGTATAATCCTGGAAGAACGACCCATATTCGCATGCTGACAAAGTGGTCATAAATTGGAGCATAGCTTATAACAAAAGAAAACATCATGAATCCACAATGCACAGTATTATCACAGTACTCAGAAATTTACTATTGAACTATAAATGTCATATATGCGTTAAAAAGTAATGGTGAACCAATCTTTCTAGTTTTCTCATCTATATGAGCAATTTAGCATCATGTATTCATGTGTAACAAGGAGCCTGCGCAGAAACTATTTTTTATTAATGTTAGGCCAACATATTTACATGAAGAAAAAGAGAAACTTTGACATATTAAGTCCCTTACAAGCAAGAAAAGTGTTATACCTTAACATCCAAGGGTATACCATGAAACTGTCCAGCACCCTCAGGCGGGGTCCAATTATAAACAGCACAAGGCAAGAAGAGAACAGATGCTCCATTAACTTCACCAGTAAATGCCTCATGCTTAGAAAATTTTCCAAAAGCCGATGGTCGATGAGACTTGACAACCCATGCCAGTGCTAATTGGTCACCAAGCATATGGGAAGCCTTAATATATCTTAAGCTGTAAGCTTCAAGGACTTGTTTCAAGAATTCCACAGCTCTGAAAAAAGAGAGTTTAATTTGAAGTTTGCTGGCTTTCTATAATACGATCTATTCAATTGCTGTCAACTTTATTTAGTGATGCCATCCCTGGTTCCTCTTACCGCAACAAAACCCAGAGTTCAAAGGTTGCCCTTTGTTATTATTTAAAAGTAAGAGCCAGATGGCAATGGGGATATTTTTTGAATATATGTCCAAGATCATCAACCACTGCTATATGGGAATCAGTCAAAACAAAATGATTCAACCCCTCCATTCTATCAAATTCCACAAGCTTTTGCTCCAGAAATGCCTGAATGTGAGGATAAGATACATAAATATAATTCTTACAGTTGAAAATAATGCATAAAGATATGACAATAGCAGTAATACGTGGATCACATAAGAAGTAATTTTGAGAAAGCATATGCAGAAAATTTAATGATCTAAATGAAGCTGATAGAGTGATAGACTTACAATGTATGTCTTTATTCTTTGAAGCATCAAATTTCCTCGAGAATAGTTTCCTTCAATAGGCAATAGTGTAGCACTCCCTTGATTTACTGAAATTTTTGAACCAGGATCAGTCAATATGATCACGTTGCTTCTTGGCATTGATACCTGCAGGGCTTTACAGACAGGATCAGGTGTTAAATAACTCACATCACAATTGTTGTTGGAATTAATGTAGCACACTGCACATTTTAAGTTTCAGATAAGATGCAAAAGGGATATTTGAATTGTTATGGGGCATAGGTAACAATACCATGAACTCATACGTCATTTCTAGAAAGGGTTAAGATAGTGATGTTAGTATTCACATTCATTGCATTACTTTCATGTTTTCCTACCACACGGGATAACAATCTCAACAACAGGAAGAAAGTACCAATTGTTTACTTGTTTAGTAACTCTAATAAACATTAGTGTTTGATAGCAATCACTCACAACATACAATAATGCAGGACTTGGAACATCTTAGTTGAAATGCTGGATATGCTATCATAAACATAGGGATGGAACTAGAGATTCAACTCTAATTCAAATATATGGGGTGTCTTGCAATCTATTATTCACAAGAGAGAAAATTATTCGAGCCACGCCAAAGTGTTAGTGTTAAACTTGCCACCTGTAAACAAAATTCACACAAACTTAGAGAAAAGGAAGAGGTACCCTTATGAAACTGATGAAAGTGTTCAGAATGGCCATGGATCTTTCTATTTTGCTATAAGAATGGTTTCCAACAGTTACAGAATCAGATGGAATTTTGCCATCTCCAGCTGAGACAGAATTGTAGGTTGTGAATACAGTAACAAAAGAAATGTGTTCTCCAGAATAGTTCTCTTCACTTGATAGGTCAATCTTGTTCAGAGCTCTAAGTCCTGAGCAAAGTGAGAGAAACATCATCAGTCATATGAACTCAGTCACCAGGTTACGTTGTGCCAACAGCATGGAGGTACTGATTTGAGAAAGACAGAATGCAATCTACCACTATTAAGTTAAGATTACAGAATATCATGTTTAAGATGTAAGTGGAACATCAAGATTCTAGATTTATTATCTGAAACATGCTGTTCAAAGCAATGCATTAGAGAAATTACTTTACTGACCCTGATGAACTGATTTTGCAAAAAGCAACATTCTTATCCTGATTTTGCCCCATGCTTGTCACAGGAAAACAAAAGCTTCCAGTTTGTTAGGCTGTAAATCCAGCTCAACAAAATCTAATATTACAGTGGCAGAGCCACAATGCAGAATGAGCATACAATCGTATCCCTATCATTTTTTTCTCGAAAAGAAAAACATTACCCTGTGATAGCATAATAAAACGTTTCCAGTGCACGATGCATAAGCGAGCTAACTCTTGACATTTTAGTTGGACATGGACTATCGAACGTTAATTTGTACCCTCAACACAAAAAAAATCCACTGCCACAATGGCATTGGTACTGGTAATGGTTGCTCAATTTTAAAAGCAATCCTCTGTGTCCAGACAGCCCTAGATGTCTCAAACTAAGAGCTAAGCAGCAGCCTCCACAAAAACCACTAAATTCAGCACGAATGGAGCTTGCCGAAGCGAGAGGATTAACCTTGGCACTGGAGGCGGTCGGGGTGGCCTTGTCCGGCGGCGGGGCCGAGCACGAGACGGTCAGGCCGCTTCAGCGCGGTTGGGGGTGGCAGGCACACGCCCTTCTCCGCTGGCGCCCAGGGGTGCAGCCTGGACACTACTAGCGCGGGATCGGATCATCAGGGGGCGGGCGTCCTCATTATTCTGAGGGGGAATCGGAGGGGAGAAGGGAGAGGTCCGTACCGGAGTAGATGAGCGGGACGAGGAGGAAGAGGAGCACCGGGCCTCGCGGTACGGCGCGGATTCGAGGCCTCGGTCTCGCCATCTAGGGGCGGAGAGGCGGCAGCGGAGCCCCGGTCCCGTCGTGGATGAAATCGACTAACGCCGGCTCGCCGACGGCGGTGGGCATATGATAAGCGTATCGCGGGATATCTAACTGTTTGCCACTCTTACGGTGGCTGTCTCTCCGTTTCTCAACTTTATCGTGCCAATTATAAAATTACCCGAGAAAACAGTAACCAGACTAATATTTTGCCATTTTCGTTGACGTATCGTGCCATATCAGCGTGCCAGCGTGGAAGTTAACGCCTCCGTCTCCGCTGACCAACGGCGCCCGCAACTGTCCGTCTCCGCTGATCAAAAGCACAGTACGGTACAGAACTGATGGTGGATGGATCGGACGCCTAAGCTAAGCAGCTGCTGTGGATCCATCATCTGGTTTGTTTGTTGGACTTGTTGCTTGTGGTCTGAGGTCTCTATCTTTTCTTGGCTTACCTTACCTTGGAGTGTCAAGCAAATCCAAAAGCAGCAGCCCAACAAGTGGGGTCAACAATGGTCTGCAGCGGCCTCCACATAGTTCCACAAGCCAAAAGAAATCTCTCTGAGGAATGGCGACGGCGACGATGGCAAGGACGCTTCTCTGTCGCTCGCGCCTTCCGGCGTCCGTCTTCTCCGATGCGTGTACGTCCATGCAGGCACTACACTGCTCTAGCTTCCTCTCTCTTGTTCACGTTGTTGTTGTCATGTCAGAATATACTAGGAGTATACGAAACCATGCGTGTGTGTGTGTCTGAAAACTCTGAAGATAAGATGCTTGGCAGACAAGCGTCCGAGCTGGGTGCCATCTTGCTTGTCTTCCTCCTCTTCTTCTCGTCCTAGCTCATGTGTAGTGCTGCCATGTCAACAACGTCCTTCCTTCCCTCGACGCAGCCCAACCGGCTGTTCGTGCACTCCGCCACCTCCCACGGCCTCGTCAGCAACGACACCAAGGCGCTGGTGGCGGGGCTCCCGCAGCGGACCATCTTCGACGCGCTCCACGACGAGGGCTTCTCCTTCGGCATCTACTACCAGTACCCGCCGTCGACGCTCTTCTACCGGAACCTCCGGCAGCTCAAGTACGCGGGCAGCTTCCACGCCTTCGACCTCGACTTCCGGCGTCACTGCCGGGAGGGAAAGCTGCCCAGCTACGTCGTCGTGGAGCAGCGCTACTTCGACCTGGAGATCCTCCCGGGGAACGACGACCACCCGTCCCATGACGTGGCCGAAGGCCAGCGGTTCGTCAAGGAGGTGTACGAGGCGCTGCGGTCAGGGCTGCAGTGGGAGGAGACGCTCCTCGTCGTCACCTACGACGAGCACGGCGGGTTCTACGACCACGTGCCCACGCCCGCCGGCGCCGGCGTCGTGCCCAGCCCCGACGGCATCGTCAGCGCCGCGCCTTTCTTCTTCGGCTTCGACAGCCTCGGCGTCCGCGTCCCGGCGCTGCTCGTGTCGCCGTGGATCGAGCCCGGGACCGTGCTGCATAGGCCGTCGGGGCCATACCCGACGTCGGAGTTCGAGCACTCCTCCATCCCGGCCACCGTCAAGAAGCTCTTCAACCTCAGGAGCTTCCTCACCAAGCGCGACGCCTGGGCCGGCACCTTCGACTGCTTCCTCACGCGCGACACGCCGCGCACCGACTGCCCACGTACGTCACTAGTAGTAGTAGCTAGTGTGTTGTGACAGACATGCATGACTGACACTGATACTGATGATGTGCGTGCGTGCATGCAGTTACCCTGCCTGAGCCAGTGAAGCTGCGGCGGACGGCGGCCGCGGAGCAAGCCCCCGTTGTCGGAGTTCCAGGAGGAGCTGGTGCAGCTCGCCGCGGTGCTCAACGGCGACCACACCAAGGACTTGTACCCGCACAAGCTCGTGGAGGGGATGACGGTGGCGGAGGCGGCCAGGTACTGCGTCGACGCCTTCAAGGCCTTCCACGACGAGTGTGAAAAATGCATGAAGCGCGGCGAGGACGGCTCCCACATCCCCACGGTGAAGCCGTCGTTGTCGGGGAAGGACAAGGACAAGAGCAAGAGCAGCTTCGTTTCCAAGGCGCTGGCTTGCCTCCCCTGTGCCCGTCCCTCGTGACCTCTCTGATGACTGATGATGCTTGCGTCCAGGCATCAGAAATTTCCATTCAGAATCGGCTGGTGAGTAAGCAATTCCTGTTCTTCTTGCAGTTGCAGGCCGGGGAATAGGGAAGGAGGCTGATAAGCCGGGAATAGGGAAGGAGGCTGATAAGCAGAGAGATGGGGACTGACGGGAGCTGCTAGCGCCATTTAGCTGGGCAGACGGGGACGTCAAGTTCCATGCTGGCACGCTGAAGTGGCGTGCCACGTCAGCGAAAATGGCAAAATATTAGCAAGGTTACTGTTTTCTCGGACAATTTTATAATTGGCACGATAAAATTAGCAAACGGAGAGGCAGTCACCATAAGAGTGGCAAATAGTTAGATATCCCGCGTATCGCAGGAGTACACCAAAATTGCAAGGGGCCTGGTGAAGCAGCGCCTCGGAACATTCAATTTGAGCTTTGATGCGATGCATTGCGGGCAATCGTCGTGGGTTATACCAGACGAGGATTTGCGGGAGAGGACATGTAATCGTGTGGTACAGACAAATTCATTGTTTGCTGTTGTAAAGGTTCAGAATAAAATTCATTCAACTTGTGTTTTTTTTTTGTTTATTTAGGTAGGAAGATGAAAATTTGAAAATGGACAGCTAAGACTGAAATTTTTGGCAGCAGTGAGATTGATTTGGATGTGTCTTCTTCTGTTATCCCACATGAAGCATAAAATACTAGTTATAAGATCTGAATGAAATAGAGGTACGTGAGAGTGGGAGGCAAATATAAGGCCACGTTTAGTTCCACCCAAATCCAAACTTTGGCACTATGTTAAAAAAAAAAATCTCTATCACATCAAATTTGTGGTACATGCATGGAGTATTAAATGTTGACGAAATAAAAAACTAATTGCACAGTTTGGTTATACTTTGTGAGACGAACGTTTTGAGCCTAATTAGTCAAGAATTAGACAATTATTACCAAATACAAACGAAATGCTACAGTACACTACAGGAATGAACAGTAAATCGGGCGGCGCTAAGTTCGACAAACTAAACACGGCCTAAGAGATCGGTTGGAGTTCACCTAAAAACTGGTGTTGGAATATGGACGAGGGAGCTTCACTTTTTTTTAGGGGAAACTACCGAGCTCTACTTTATTCACTCACTCACTTAGCCTGGAGATTTATCGGGGGACCTAAATCCAAAATGGATTTTCAGTAGGCCTGTAGCCTTCAATAGAGTATCTATATAGAAGATCAATTTTGGTTATCAGGAAGACATAACCTAAATCTGAGTATCCTTTTTTCTAGAGATTTATTTACAAAATAAATTATCTTTTGAGCTGTATTATTGGAGAAGACAAAAATATATATTAAACCTGTTACCTATAGATGGATCTTCTATTTATTTGGGGTCACGGTCGTTGAAAAGGGACGCAACCCAAGACCACAGACGACCGAAACGATCGCTCGAGGTGGTCTCAAGCCCACGTATGCCTGCCTGGCATTTAATTACTCTCCTTCCTTCCTTGCTATGGGTTCCTTCTTTAATAATAATCGATCAATTAATGATTACTTACAGCCAGACTGCTGGGCCTAATAGAAAGACCCACCACCCAGATTTGACCGTTTGTGTGGGCATGGAGCCGTGGACACAACACAAGAAAAATGAAACGATAATCATATACGACGGTCGTCCGGACGGAAACGGACGCATCAAAAACCGTGCCACACCAACCCACCTCTGTCGCACGCCGTGTCCCAGATGTTGTCTCCCGCACTCATCCTTATCCTCTCCTTACTCACTCTCGCAATCGTTCCTCTCCATTCTACTGCCGCCCCGCCCATAGGAACGAACGCCGCGCCTAGTTCGCTGCCGCCCCGCCCGTCCACCGGCGCTCCCTCCCTCCTCCCTCCTCCCTCCTCCCCTCCCGCGACCTCCATTGGTACCCCGCACCCCCAGAGACATGGCTCCCGCTCCTCCCACCGGAGATGAGGACGACGACAGTGGCTCCGACGAGGTAGGTCGGTATTTCTCTGGATCTGAGCCCTCCTCCTCCTCCTCCTCTAGATCTGAGCCCTCCTCCTCCTCCTCGGATATGAGGGACGCGACGATGGCAAGGGTTCTGCGAGCTCTGTTGTAGTAGCCTTATTTTGCTGTTGAAACAAGTAAATTTCTTTGTTGCATTAGTCATTTTTTTGTTTCTGATGTTGCATCTTGCATTGCAGTAACCTTGTTCTGATGTTGTAACAAGTAATATTTCTTTGTTGCATTAGTCTTTTTTTATGTTGCTTTCTCGGATTGCGCTTTGTTCTGTTTTGTTGCAGTTGCCTTGTTCTGATGTTGAAACAAGTAATATTTTTTTGTTGCATTAGTCTCTTTTTCTGATCTTGCATCTCGCATTGCAGTAGCTTTGTTCTGTTGTTGCAGTCGTCTTGTTCTGATATTACAGTAGACTTATTCTGATGTTGCAAACAAGTAATACTTCTCATGTTTGCATCTCGCATTGCTCCATGTTGCAACAGATCCTTCCAATGGAAAATTTTCTCATTGGACATTCAGGGTAATAGAGCACGGTGGGGATGGGGCGTGGAGGGCAACGGACGCGCATGGGATGGCGGCACGGCGGGGGATGATAACGCGACGAGGCACGGCGGCATAGTAGGGGACGGGCCGCACGTGGGGGCGCACTCATTTTCATATGCGGGGGCGCGCTCGTTCTATTCGCATCGGATAGGTGGTCCCGTGGGGCGTCCGGACGCGTGCTCGCGCCGGACGTCCGGGTGCTAGTTGCGTCGGAAAGATGAAAACAACGCTCGACACACGGAAGCGTCAAACACGTTCGGGCCCCCCACAGGAAGAGACTACGGCTAGTGGGCCCACATAGGCCCCCACAGGCGCAACAATCCAACGGCCGGCCTACTTATCCTCGCAGTCTTTCTTT